CCCGGTAGCAAGGCAATTCTTTTAAGACGCAATGGGTTACTGAGCGTGAAAGAACCAAAAAAATATTTATCAATTACTGAATCTGGAACACGAACAATAGAAGAACATTAATTTTAAAAGAAGACAGTAGATAATATTTGACAAAAATATTGCGTTTTAATTTTTTGCTGATCAAAGTTGGCTGGAAAGCATGGAGCCAGAAGTTAGTTCCACAAGCGAGAAGCGCGAGAAAAAGGAACTATTAACATAAAACTTACGGTTACATCTAGCGAATTCATCTGCGAAAAGATGAGACCTAGCTGCCAATCTAGTACTGCGCTTAAATTCATAACATGTAGATACTATAGTAAAGAGTTCATCTGAACAATGACCATGGAAGTATTTATAGAAAAGATACAAGGAATCAACTTTACGGCGAGTGACTGAAGCCGAGACACCAGGTCAGGACCAATAATATGGCTGATTCTTCTTTGGATTTTATCCCGAATATATAAATATATGGCAGGAGCACCGGGCCATATGTGACAGCAATATTCAAAGTATGGACGAATGGTAGAAAGATATGCAAGATAAATTTTAGAGAGAAAGATTGTCTAGCACGACACAGTAAACCAATATTTTAACAGGAAAATTTAACAATAGATTCAATATAGTCTTTCCATTTCATGTCAGCCTGAGAAGTCGCAACAAGTCACCCTCCTGGAGGTTAGTATCAGCCATGCTCATTAAAGGCAGAAAGGGTCTCTCAGATAATTAATAGAGAGCAGTTTCGTTTTTTTTTGGGGGGGACTTCTAACTGGGGCAAAGAATAAATTTGTTAAAAATTAAAAAGCCATTCTTCTAAAGTTAACAACAGACTATAGGTTATTTTTTTAGATCAGCTGCCGATTTGACCTTATCAGACTGATCAGAATTACTATTGAGACAAGAGTAAATAGTTGTATCATCAGCATACGAGGATCGTTCAAATTGTTCTAAGCTATGTAAATTCATTGTAAATTAATCCTCCAATGGAAGTCCAAACAAATATTCTCATACGACATGATTTCTTAAAATTAAAGAAAAAATAAAAATTTGAAACTCATAATCTGGAGTTCTTTGCCATATCAACTAAGCACTGCAAATTACAAATAAAAAAAAAAATTTAATTTCCTTACATTTTAAGAAATCATATATGAACATACAAAGGTTGTTCAAATTCTTCTAAGCTTCACCCAGAAACAAGAGCCATAGCTGAACATTTTCATTATAGCAACACCCTACCACTTCTTATAAAACTGGAAAAACTATTTCAGATTTCTGTATTCATTTCTGTGCAGGTGAAGCCAATACAAATGTGAGAGGGGTGCAAAAAATCTAAAAATGGACAAAACAGAAACCTGAGCAGTCATAAAGTATCAGCAAAAGAAATATATAACACTCAAAGAAAATCCATGAGGACATGGTACAGACACCTGCTGAGAACTCCCCTTCCTATGCGTGTGAAGAATTGGCCTGCAGAATTTAAGTAGGGTAGGGCCAGCACAGAAGATGACTCTTGGTCAAGTTGGCTGAAAACCTCAACCACTGATGAACAAGTTGATGCTATTCACTGTATGGTTTTGGATGAGAGACATCTTACTGTCCAGCAGATATTTAAGTTCATGGGCATTAGATTCAGTCCATACTGTTTTAAATGAAATCTTGAGGATGAGCAAGATGTCTGCGTCTCAAGAATGTTGACACCAGAGCAGAAGCTAAAAAAAAAGTTGACATTTCCAGGGTACTTCTGATTCGGTTCCAAGCTGACTTTGAGAATTTCCACTTCAGATTAGTAACTCAAGATGAAATCTGTGTTCACTACTTCAAACCTGAATCAAAGATTCAAAGCAAACAGTGGAAAAACTCTGGTTCTCCATCCACAAAGAAGCTCAAGCAGGCAGCATCTAATGGCAAGGTGATGGCTTCTGTTTTTGTTGGGTTTTTTTATTCTGAAAACGCAATCATGATAGACTATCTGGAAAATGGAAAAAATATTAATGGACAGTACTATTCATTAGAATTAAAACAACTGAATGAAACAATCAAGAGGGAATTATGGGTAGGTGTGCTCTTGCACCCGGATAATGCACCTGTTCACATTACCCAGGTTGCATTTGCTGAAACAGTTAACTGTGGCTTTGAATTGCTACCCCAACCCCCTTACTCACCAGATTTAGCTCCATTTGACTTATTCCTGTTTCCTAAACTCAAATCTTTTACCTGTGTGGTCACCAAAAAAACAATGATGAGATGCCCTGTTGGAGGATTTTTTTGGAGAACCAGGATACCATCTTCTTCTGTGGTGGATCAAAAAAATTCTTTTTAAGCATTGCTGAACCAAAGTGAATTTTTGGGGACTATATTGAAAAATGATGAGGATAAATCACTATATAGTCTTATACTTTGAGCATAAAGATGGGTCACAAGAATGCTGACACCAGAGCAGAAGTTGAAAAGGGTTGACATTTCCAGGACACTTCTGACTCGCTTCCAAGCTGACCCTGAGGATTTTCACCACAGATTAGTAACTCAAGGTGAAACCTGGGTTCAACACTTCGAACTTGAATCAAAGATTCAAAGTAAGTTGGGGAAACATTCTGGTTCAAGCAAGCAGCGGCTGCTGGCAAGATGATGTCTTCTGTTTTGTTTTGTTTTTTTTGTGGGGGGATTCTGAAGACGTAATCGTGTCAGACTCCCTGGGAAAATGAAAATCTACTAACGCACAGTACTATGCATCAAAATTAAGACAATCGAAGGAAGCAATCAAGTCGAAAACGCAGAGGGAAGCTAAGGGTACTTGTGCTCTTTCTCCAGGATAACGCGCCCGTTCACACTGCTCAGGTTGCAGTAGCTGAAGCAGTCAATTTTGGCTCTAAATTGCTACCCCATCCCCCTTACTCACCAGCCTTAACTCCATCTGATTTCTTCCTGTTTCCATAAACTCAAATCCCACCTGCGTGGTCGCCATTTTGGAAACAATAATGAAATCAAATGTGCTGGAGAGGAATTTTTGGAGGACCAGGACGCCACCTTCTTCTGTGGTCGGATTGCAATGCTTAAACATCGATGGATCAAGTACATTGATGTCAAGGGGGGCTATACAGAAAAATAGTGAAAAACTGTCTTCCAACAACCTTTTAAACTATTTTCAATCGGGTTTGTTTTTAATGTGCTGTTAATTTCTCTTCATGTTTGACTACTACTCTTATTCAAAACAACACAAAAAATATATCTTAAACAGTCAAATATGAAGAGAAATTACTTATATCTGACTTTTTCCTATCCTCTACACTTAAAACCCAACTGCGTGGCCGCCATTTTGGAAAAAATGAAGAGATCATATGTACTGGGGAAGCCACCTTCTTCCATGATGGGATTGCAATGCTTAAGTATCGATGGACCAAGTGCATTGATGTCAAGAGGGACTATCTTGAAAAATAGTGAAAAACTGTCTTTTTTCTCCAAATCCTTCTGGGTTAGACATAAAAATTTTTGAACGACCTTGTATAAACCAAGACAGTGTACATGAGAAAAGTGTATATCTTTATACAATAATGTTTGTGCTTCTCGACACACACACAGACCGAGCCGAGTGATTAGAATCTTACCCACGATCGATTAGTCAAGAAGATGTGACTTGTTGGTTTTATTAGCCAGGGGAGACTCTCCTGATGCATTTCACCATTTGGGAAACGCCTAAAATCCAGACTACAGATTGATCCAAGACTTGTGAGTAAAATTGAATAGATGTACCATATACGAATGCCCTCGAAGTACAAGGTCTCAAGTCATTTAGGTTTGAAGGTACGGGCGTTGTTCAAAATCGCTGACCATGCCAGATAACGCTCTCTCCCTCTCTCTCTCTCTCTCTCTCTCTCTCTCAGAAACTGTAAGTAAGATCTGCTCATTTTAAGTGCAGAATAAACTATAGGTTGGCGCTGTGGGTGTTGAAGGAGCAAAATAATATAGATGTAAAATTAATTTTACCGTACCTGTATGTGTATTTGTATGTATGCTTAAAAAATGAACTATACTCGTTTTGTGGTCTGGTAAAAATTTGAAAGGTGAAATGCATTATCAAATCTATTTACAATCAAATCTATTTTCATAAAACGTTTCCATTTGTCAAAATATATATATATATATATATATATATATATATATATATATATATATATAAAGAAAGAACAGTAAGATATATATAACCCGGTGTTCTTATAGATATTTTAAGAAATTGAAAATATTGCTCAATGTAAATTTATTGAATTAATAAATAAATTAATTGATTTAAAATATGTTTTATTTTAAATCAATTAATTAAATATATATATATATATATATATATATATATATATATATATATATATATATATATATATATATATAGATATATAGATAGATAACTAGACTCGTTTCGAAAAACCCTCGAATTTTGATTTGCTAATAATCAAATCAATCTCGAGGGAAAAAAAGGTTTTAAAAAAAAAGAAAGAGCTATAAACATGAACTTCTGCCGACAAAAAAATCGCACAGATGCAGGTCTGAAGCCCAAAAAAAACCCCGATACGAGTAAACAACTAACTAACAAAAGAGCTCAATACAACCGTAGAGCAGACCTAGATACACCTAGTAGTGAGCCAGACAAACCTACCTAGGTTTCACCTAAACGGATCGTCAGGAAAAATAAGCCTTACTATATGACGATCCGTTTATATATACCTAGGTATATATTTGTCTATATATATATATATATATATATATATATATATATATATATATATATAGATAGATAGATAGATAGATATATAGTATATATAGATATATATATAGTTAAGTA